CGACTCTGCATAATTGATTTGTAATAAATAAGTGATGATGTAGAGGTGAAGAGGATACGGACGCCTGTGTCCAGATCGTGCCTCGGACAAACAGGGCCTCATGTTAATGAGACATTGATTTCTGCATCACTGAATAATGGAATATTCCTCCCCATGCAGCTCAGAGAGGCATACTGTAGGCGTGGAGGAGAAGCTGAGCTGGAGGGGGATTCAGGGAGGTCAGAAAGGATGCAGACCTTCAGGCTCTCAGGGTAGACCTCTGTGGCTACAGCTCAGTATAAAAGTACGAGCATGAAGCTGGAGGAGAGAAAGCTGCGACCTAAAGGTTCTGACTCACACGCGTTTCTATGAGTCAAAACTTAATTACTTTATTTATTTTTATTTTTGTTGGTAGCTTACATAACAGGTGCTTCTTCCTTTTGGACCTAAATTCAAGGGCGGTTCTGGATGGGGGCCAACAGGGGCCAGATAAAAATGTAACCTTTGATTACTGTAGTCCAGTGGTCGGCAACCTGCAGCTCTGGAGCCGCAGGCGGCTCTTTAGAGCCCCCCTTGCGGCTCCCTGGTGCTTTTTCAAAAATGTATGGAGGAGGTCAAACAAACATTCATTATGTTTTCCAATGCTGTTAAAATTTGTATAATAAATCAATTTAAACAATAAATGTAAACATTTCTTTCAAGGAAAAGTTGTGTCATAGATATAGAGATCAGTGGTCATGTCGTGAATCATTTGCTTTCATTATCAATGTGGAATGATTGTCTGCATGTTTGCTTTGTAATGAGAAGCTATCAAAAAATAAAAAGTGTCAGTTCCTGGGGGCTACGGCATTGCTGCGGCTCGAGGATTTCCTTGGGGCCATCTCTCCTCTTCCCTTGATGGGGGGGCATATTTCCTAGGTTGGCCCCTCTTATGCATCTTTGCTCCGGGGGTCCCTTTGGGCGTCTGGGGTTTTGGGTTCCCCGGCGCTCATCTCTGTGCTCTGGTGGGGCGGATCTTTGGCTCTTCACAACCACTATTGAGCATTTTTCCTTTGGATAAACTTTACATGCTTAAGTGCACTTTCACAAACAACTACAGGTTTGGTTCCAGGAACTAAGAGATTCACTTCCTTACAGAAAGCCCATATTCTTATTTTTATCTACCACAGTATACATGTCAGATTAAATAATACTACTTATACTAGTATCAAGGTGTTACTTTATTGTATCTCTTATAGTATATCCATTGGTTGTGCTGTTCTTTTTTAATCTGTTTGCAGGTGATGAAGCATACTGAAAATGTTTTATCGTTATCTCCCTTTTATCTCCTCTAACTTTCATCAAAAATGGATGACAAAGGAGACTCATCCATGACCTCCCACACAAAACTCTCCTCCTCTTGCATGTTTCCTCTGTCCATAGCGTTCCTTGACAGCGTCGTTTCTAAGTCACCAATTTAGTGCTACTTGGTCCCAATGGAATTTCCCATTGGGAACCTACTAGCACTAAGTTGCTAACTGGCTAGCAATGATGCTTCTGATAAACTGGCCACAATCAAACTTGCTTGGGAACCTTCAACCACAACAATCCCGTCCCCTTGATTATCGACCAATCACATTCACTTTATTGACTCATATAAAGTCGTGCACTGCTCGGGAGAATTCGGAAATGCAACGGTTGCAACGGCCACTTCCCTACAACTTTAATGCACTACCTGCTTGCACACCACTGCCTCCTTCTGTTCTTGAGTTGTACATGTCACTTGACATCTTACCCAATAAGCATTAGGTTCTGTCAGCTTAACTGAATCTAGTAAATGTTAACTTATTCCTCATTATGTTAAAGTTACATTACTTAATGATGTTCAACCACAAAACATAACTATTTATAGTAAAACCCACATTAGCACACACCCAATCTGGCTTTTTTAAGTGTACATGTGTGTCCACCACATTGTTTTTTTGGATTTATTTTTTCATAACCTCCTGTACCCATTTTTGTGTCTACATTGTGACATTAATAAAGTTTATTCATTCAAGCTCAGAAGATCAGCTCCCCTGGTTTCATCCGCAGGTCAGTATTGATCAAACCCCCCATCTTCTGAAACAGAGCTTTGCTGCGCCATACGGATAAACACAGTCTGGGCCGTCCCAGAAGGCCACCTGGAATTTGCTGAATTTAATGCATCCTGTCACGCTCACCTGGACATGGGTGGAAACAAATAGCAGGCAGTCAGCAGGGACCTCAGAAGACCATCAGGCTGACGGTGCAACATGCTTTTTACATTTCTACGTTTTCATCGATTTTAAACAACATTTGAAACTAAACCATTAAGATGTGTTTTATTTTTCAATTTTCATCGCTGAATTAAAGCCACAGAAACGAACATGCAGAAATGAGGTCCACTTGTTAAAGGTTGCTTGTTACTTTAGATTAAAGCATCTGACAGAAAGTTTTATTTAGTCTTGTGATTATGCTCATTTAGGCAGCGCGTCACATTTGGAGCCAGAACACATTCTCTGTGGCTGAAAGGTCACAGGCGAGAAATCAGAGTGAAATCAATGCAGAGAAGAAGAACGTGACAACCTGAAGGGGATGGAGGCAGATCAGGAGGGCTCATCAAGACAAAACGAAGAAAAGCAATAATTAATAACTGAACTTTATTGATCTCACATTGGAGAAATTTACCTCTGCATTTAACCCATCCCCTTGGGGAGCAGTGGGCTGCCATTGTAGGTCACCCTGGGAGCAGTTTGGGGTTAAGGGTCTCCAGTATGTGGGAGGGGGTCTTAAAAACAGAACCTTTGGATTGCAAGCTCTATGTCCTAAACACTAGATCGCCACACCCCGTTATTAATTTAGTGTTTATTCCCATTTTAGCACCTTGAGGTGCAAAACCTGGGATGGATAAGAAGGCACCAAACCGTATAGTGCCTTATAGGAGAGCAGCAAGATCTAAAATTCAGCTTGAACCTGAGAAGGGACCCAGTGAAAGAAGGTTGGTAACATGCTCATGTTCTTTGATCAAGATACGAACATCTGCAGGCCTGAAAAAATAATATAACCGCTTTTTGGCATTTACTTAATCATATTTAGTTACTTTAACACAATTGTTTCATGTGAGCAGGGTAGGGCATAAAGAAATGTGTTAAAGTAACTAAATATGGTTAAGTAAATGCTAAAAGGGGCTGCATTATTTTTGTTTTAGCACAGACAGGAGAAATGAATCAATGCATGGATAAGAACCTCTGGATTCAGAAAATATAACCCCCTCTGATTTTGTTAAAGTTCCTGAGATGATAAAATGCAGACACCTTTTAATGTGAGATTCAAAGGAGAATTCCAGCTGAAAAAAATAATGCAACCGCTTTTGGCATTTACTTAATCATATTTAGTTTCTTTAACACAATTGTTTAATGTGCTACTCTGCCAGAAACAGTTACATAATTTTTTTTCTGTGAAGTTCTTTATGCTCTCTCTGCATTTTATGACACAGTAATTCGTTTTCATGGTGACATTGCGAGACAGGTAGTGACATTTTTGAAGTCTGATAAACAGAAAATCTGCCTTATTAGGATTAAGAAGCAGGAAATGATTCGATAAACAGACTCTGATAACATGTTTATAATTTTCTCATACAGTGGCTGAAGACACATAAAGCTGCAAGTCGTCAGCATACCAATGAAAGTTGACATTAAAAGACCTAAAGGTAAAGAAGCCATCCCGCAGCAGAAAAAAGGGGAAAATAGAAATGGGCTGAACGCACACATGTGGGACCCTGTGCCCTCACATTGATGGGGAGACATGGTGGTGGCACCATCATACTGTGGTGATGGGATTCATGTGCGGGGAAAGAGGCCGAACTGAGCAAAAACTCAGAAAGAAAACCTTTTAAAAATGGTAGATTTCAGGTTCCAGCTCAAGCCTAAAAGGGGGGGGGGGGGGGGGGGGGGGGGGGGGGGGGGGCTTAAAACTCTGTTTACATGTATGGTTAAAGCAACTACTCCTTTTCTGTGCACATTAATTATATTTTTGATAAAAATCCTTAAGATGCCATCAGAATGCTTATAATATTAAGTGTCTCTAATGAATGTCTATTCTATAAAAAATGCTCTATCTGTATAATGATTCTGTTTTATGTGTTATCTTCTCATTTCAGATGGCCCCCTGCCTGTCTTTGCCTAGGGCCCTCACTTTCCTAAATTCACCCCTGCATATAGAGGGTCTGGATTGGTCTGCTAAAATCTAGACCTCCATCCAACCCAGAAGGCACAAAAAAATAAAAGCAAAATCATGCATTTAATCATTTTGAAATTGGAAAAACTTTTCAGCTTCAGTGTGTGAAGCTGGCTCGTTTAAGAAAAACATGGATTAATGTTCAGAAGATTTTACTTAAAGTGTTTAAAAAGGAAATTATTTGATTTTATAGCACTGATATGTAATAAAATTTTATAATCTATCTGATCATATAACCCAAAGTTATTTATCTATTTTATTCTTATTTTATCTTTTTGTTAAATCAGTTTGAACTAACCCAGTTAGTGCCTGATCGGGTAAAGAAGCAGGTCTTGTTACAGAAGCCATGAGCTGACAGACGGATGTGATGACAGACAGCAGAGCAGCAGCAGGATGAATCCATCCAGCGTGGAAAGGATCAGTTTGCGGAGGAAACAGGCGGAGGGACCCGGGGGACACCTGGGAGTCAGGAGGTAAAGCTGCAGGAGACGAGGAGGGGATCTCTGCCTAACAAAATAAAAGAAAACATATTTCATTGAATTTATAATTTTTTTAAAAGGCAAATATTAGGGGTTTTCTATAAAATATGACTTGAATTCAAATAATTTATTCTCCTATTTCCCCCAATTTTTTTTGTCTGTCTTTTAATTGTTTCGTTTTCTTTCTTTTTTTCTTTCTTTTTTTTTTTTTAGTTAAACCCTCCATTTTACGCTGATAACCCCCCCGGAAACCGCACGCGCGGTAACCATTGCGTCTTAGCGCGCAGACCTGGCACCCGGCGTGGTGCGCTCCGCTCCTCATTCCTCTCCAACTCCCCTTCAGTGCGTTAGACACCGTTTGAGCGCGCGCACATCCACCTCTCCTCCTGCAATAAACCTGCAGACAAACGGACGCGCGCAGTTACGAACAAACCACTTCTTTCTCGGACCCGGGAGGAGCAGGAGTGACAGAGTCAGCTTCCAACTTGTCCCCGGCTGCCGTGTCCACCCATGCGCGGATTTACGCGTCTTTCCTGCGGTCATCATCGGAGAGACTCCATCAGGACCAGAGTGGAGAATGTAAAATAAACCTTTTCAGAAAAGTTCAGAGAAAACCAGAAGAGAAGCAGGAGAAGAGATGGATAGACGCGCTTTACCGACGGCTTTTCTCTGCTTCTTACTTTGGGGATTTACTGAAGGACAGTTCTTTCCAGGTAGGAACTTGGTCTTTGATTTTATTTGTGTTTTAAGCAGCTGTTTATGCTCCTTTTTCCTGCTTTGACATGTTTTATTGGAACTCGGACAGATGTGGGATCAGTTGGGAATGGAAGATGATATTGAGGCTTGAAGTTTTCATATTATATCCACTGTGGAAAGATGAAATATGCGTCTTCATCTGTTGTAATTAATGATCTGGATGCTTGGAGAAGATGCAGATTTAACTCCAGCAAACTTAAAGAGGTATTTGATTCTGTTGCCTCTCTACACTGCAAAAATCATCTAGAAATTAGTAAATATTTCTTACATTAAGTGTATGTATCCTTAATTTGAGCGGGTAAATAAGATGATTTGCCAATAGAATGAGTAGTTTTGCTCTTAAAATAAGATAATCAGATGATATGCACGTTAAAAAAGACAATGCCATTGTTTTTTTCTTATTTTAAATGTAAAGGGTATTGTTCTATTGGCAAAGTCTCACTTACCAACTAAATGAAAGAAAATGCACTTATTTTAGGAACAAATGACTTATTTAGCTTAAATTTTCTTGCAGTGTAAACTGTGATTCATATTTTATTCTTAAAAAAAGAAAAAGCTTCTCTTTCACTTCCAACAGTTTGAGCAAAGCGTTGAAGCTCCTTCTGAGCCTAAATCTCCTACCCGCTCTGAGCATCAGATCCAAGATGCTGTTCGCTCCTAAAAACTCCTCTTCAGGAGACTTTTTCCACAACAGGAACCAAGATACATCATTTCAGGGAAAACTTTAGTGTCTCCGCGGCCCCTGGAGCCAATGTTCCTCCTTTTACGCGCCGCAGAGTTTGCAGAATCTGACATGGAATAACTTTAATACTGCAAAGCTGTTTTTAACGAAAGTCTTTGTGTGTAAAAATGTTCAACATTAAACTTAATTCGTGTCTGTTATCATCTCAGCTTATCAGTCATGGCTGTCTGCGTCCTTTTTAATGACTCATTGATTTATTGTGGTATTTTATTAAATTTTAATTCTGTATTTAAACACTAGAGGTAAAGTTCAGAACAAGTCAGTTTCTAAAACGCTGGTTTCCATCCTTTGTGTTCCTGCCGCTGCCTCAGTTCTCTCTGCTTGGTATTCATGACCTGTAGGATTGCACAAAGAGGCAACTCTGAAGGGGAGACTGTCTCCCAGCGCTGAACCCCCCCATCCCACCTCCCCTTCACTCTGCACACATCTCCGCTCTGTGTCTCTGCTGGAGGAGACGCACCGAGCCTCTCTCCGTGCGTAAAGACGCGCCACGCTCCTATCGGCTCATTCAGTCCATCTGTTGAAAAAAAATCTACAAATAAATACAAATTCAGCTCCTTTCATCTCAAAAATATAATCCAAACGGTAAAGATTGATTTCTGATTGAACCAGCTGGATGGAAACTGAGCCACATAAAAATGACGAAGTTGGATTATTAGAAATCATCATTTAGTTTCCAGATTATTCCTCTTAATCTGCTCTTCTTACACCTTTTATAAAAAAAATATATAATACTTATTTTTATAAATGATCCGTTTTAGTTTCACATGTTTCAGTGTAAACAGGACTTAGAAAATCCTCCAGGAGTTTTTTTTTTTATTTTTTCAGGCTGCTGTTCGCTGATTTACCGTTAGGGGGCGACATCGCTCCGTCTGATCTCTGGTTCCCAAAAGGCACAAACCTTCACCGGGACATTTCTGATCAGCTCTCCTCAAATAACCCAATTAATCAGAAGTTTGCAAAAAAATAAATAAATAAATAAATAAATAAATAATAATAATAATAAATAAAATAAAATCAAACAATTTAAAATTACTTTTGGGCTCCTGATGCATGTTCTCCACGCTGCTGTTGAAGAGCTGCTTGGATCTGGAGATTATGGATGCTGAGGCGTGCACGTCTTCAAGGAAAACATTTCCAATTGATGTTTGGCTTAATTAGATTCCCTTTGGCAGCAAGGGCAAAAAGGATAAATGGCAGAAGGAGAATGAAGGAGAAACAAGGTCCGGTTCTCCTCCTGACATACGGAGAAGGATTTAACATCCTTCAGGTCAATTAGAACACCTTTAATATGATTAGTGAGACGTGTGACTGCTACATGCCGTCATACAGAAGCGAAGGAGGCCGGAGAAAATGGGAAAGATGAGGGAGGATGGGGAAAGGTGATGGAGGTGAAGTTTGAGCCTCAGGGGGAGAAAAAGATGATGAAAGACTTTAAGAAAGAATGATAGAGGAGGAAGAGACAGGAGGAGGTCAGGGGAGAGGATCGCAGAGGAAGGGAAGGATGAATAATAGAAGAAAAGAGCTGGAAAGCAAAGATGAGGTGAAAGGACGAGGCTGCGGAGAAGCGGATAAGTCCCGTCCTCTTCGGTGTCGTTTATCACCGAGGGAAGAGAAGGAGGAAAACAGAATGAGAGTGGGATGAAGAAGGAAAACGACACTAAGTTGATTATGTCTGACTGCTATCGATTGTCTGAGTGGCTCTAAGAGTTAAAGAATGGGAGATTTCTGACAGCATGTCTGTCACCTCTGGGCGCCGTGTTCAGCAGGCGGCCCTCCACGTGTCCTTCTGATCCATGCCACTTCTTCTGTTGGCCTCAGCAACGGTGGGGAGATCATTAGAGATGTGTGATGTGAACAGAGAAGCGTTTCATCCTCATGTCAGCTCTACCTTCATATTTACCCTCCAAGCACTTAGAGTATCACAGTCTCTCTGTAAAACAGCCTACACTATAAAATAACTCAGAGTAATGCAAAATAAGAAAAACATCTTCAAGTATTAACTGCATTTATTGCAACAGCTGTAAAGGATTTAATTAATGGACATTTCATGCATAGAAAAGGTTTATCTCAGCACTGGAGCAGCACTGAGATCAGATGAAGTAGTGACTCTAAATAAGGTCTCTTCTTCTCTTGTTATCCTCACCACGTCGGGGTTCTTCCTGTATGTTTCAGCCCTGCTTATATGCAACAGGAAACTACCTCTGTCTCTAATTGCTTTCATCAAAACATCTAAAAAGCTGCAAGTTTCTGCACTATGCCAAAAATAGCAAAAACCTTTAAATAGATTAATACCAGCAGGTCATCTAACACTTTGAAGGAGCACAAAGTTTACCCTCAGGTCAGCACAGATGCACGGTAGAGGCGGACATTACCAACGTCCAAATTTACCTTCTAACCAAAACCAGGAGACTCTACATAGAAGAAAATGACATTTATAGTTTTGGATATTATCAAGTTAATTTACTAAACTTTTATTTATCCGTTGCACTTTATTTTTGCATAAACATTGCACTCTAAAAAAAGATATTCAAACTAAGTTATGTCAACTGGTTCCAGTAAACTTAGTAGATTAAATGCCTGGATTATTATAAATATTTATAATAAGAGAGGCGGCCAGTTGTTAGGGCATTGAGCTTGGAATCCAGAGGTTCTGAGTTCGAGCCCCACTACCACAGACTGCCACTCTGGGTTCCTGAGCAAGACCCTTAACCCCACACTGCTCCCCAGGTGTCGCACAATGGCAGCCCACTGCTCCCCAAGGGGATGGGTTAAATGTAGAGGTACATTTCTCCAATGTGAGATCAATAATGTTCAATTATTTACTTCAACATATTAATTAAAGACAAAAAGGTTAATAAATCCAGCATTGTAGACTTAAGGTTGTATCACTTGATCTTGTGTAGTTTTATTTAACAGCTAATTGGCAGCTTAATTAGCACCAGCTTGAATCAGTTTAATTCAAACTGAGTTACAACTGGATTTCATTGACTGACTTTAATTTAACTGTGACTAGCTTTCATGTTTCAACTTCAGTGGCCTGAAGGTATGAATTCATCCTTAGGCCAACTTATTATCACAGCAGGGTTTCTGATTACTGGCAAGGCATGGCTGTCGATTGCCTGGACCTTGTTCTCGTCATTCAGCTGATTTCTTAGAACTTGCCTTACTGGTTGAAGATATTTGGCTGTTGCATCCTCCTGGTTGCCATTGGCCTGTTGTATTCCAAGGTACTTGTAGCTCTTTACTAAATCTGCTATCCTCCTTTCTTGGATTGTGATCTGCAAGGATTACCTTCTCTCTCCTTGTCACCATCCGGCCATATTTCATCAGCCAGAACGACATTCTGATGTCCGTGCTTTAGATCCTGGTGGTGTAGATCAGAGAGTAAATGTCTTGTTGAATCTTAGCATGCAGCTTGATGCCAACCATATGCAGGCTGATAGTGGCCCCATTTCTGAATAACTATCCATAGCCAGTCTTGTTGATTCTTTGGCTGATGGAGATGCACATTTTTTTCTTGGTAAATTCCGCATGTGATTGAGGTTTTGGCTTGAATTTGAGAGACAGATTATTGGCCGAATGTTGTTTGGGACTGTGCCTTTATGAGGGTCTTTCATTATCAGTACTGTTCGGTCCTCAGTCAGCCAGTCAGCCTGGGTCCCGCTCTCCAGCAGCCGGGTCACTTGTGCTGCTAGGTATTCATGGAGAGGAGTCACTTTCTTTTGTCCCCTCTGACGCTGATCCTTCGTCCCATTTAGCACTGGTAATATGGAGTCACAGTTTTTTATTGTTTGCTGTTTTTCTGTTTTATTTTTTATTGTTGAAGACTCAGCAGACTAAACAACAAATCAAAACCGTGGAAGTGGAAGCTTTTCGGCAAATTGAGCTCTGATAAAAGATGTTATTTCCATGGAAAATGATTCTTAGGTGATTAAACCGTGACTCCAGTTTATAAATGGAACCACTGTGTTGGAAAAAAGAAAAAAAAAAAGAAAAAGAAAAAAAAAACAGCCAAACATTACTTGTAGGATACATATTCTGCTCTCTTACTCCAGATATACATATTCATAAACAGTTTATGATAAACGTAAGTTTTTGTGCTTGGAAAACAGCCTGTTTAAATCCCACACATTTCAAAGGAGCTCTAAAATCTGTAATTCAGATTTCATGCATAAGCCCTGAAGGCATCATTTGAACACAGCTGTAAGTGTA